GTGTGGTTGGGTTTTTCTGAGGCAAAGTCTCACTGCGTTGCCCAGGCTGAAGTGCATAGGCATAATCTTGGCACATGGCAACCTCTGCTTCTTGGGTCCAAGCGATTCTCCCACCTCAGCCTCCTGAATAGCTGGGACTATAGGCGCATGCCACCACACCTGACTAATTTTTGGTACAGACAGGATTTCACCATGTTGGCCAGGCTGGTCTCAAACTCCTGACCTCAAGTGATCCATCTGCCTCCGCCATCTAAAGTGCTAGCATTACAGGCATGAGCCACCTCGCCCGGCCAATATTCTGCCTCTTTTAAGATTCTTTTTTGTTTTTAATAAATTTTAAAAAATTTTAAAAATAAATTTTTTAAAAACAAAATAAATGATGCTTAACAAGGTTGCTGTAAAGATTAACTGTAATAATAAGTGGGAGCTATTTCATATTTATCTGACGAGAAGTGATTTTAAAAGAGAAGATCAGAGCTGGAGCAGGACCTGAAGGGGCTTCGAAGGAATAGCAGGCTTCATGCTGAAAACAGGAGCTAATTGGTTCACAAGGATTTCAAAATTTTCTCCAGCAGGCTGCTGACTAGCAGTGCCAGCAGGTATTCTTTTTTCCTTATGGGAGACCCCAAAGGCACTTCTGCCGTAGTTCTCCATGCTGGTTACTTTTATGTATCATTTTGGCTGGGCCATGGTGTCCAAATACATGGATTATTCAGGATGTTTCTATGAGAGTATTTTTGGATGAGATTAACTTTAAATCGCTGGACTTTGAGTAAAGCAGAGTATTTTGCCTAATGTGGATGGGCCTCATCCAGTCAATTGAAGAAGCCCTGACTCCAACAAAAGACTGACCTCCACCACCCCCAGAGTGAGTTCTAGTGGCAGATGGTCTTCACACTTGAACTGCAGATTTGGGGTTCACCAGTCTCTGTAATTGCTTGAGCCAATTCCTTAAAATAAATCTCTCTTTCTCTCTTTATATATGTACATGTACACACACACAGACACATCCTATTGGTTCTATTTCTCTGGAGAACCCTAATACATTCTCTGACAGAAAACCAAGGAGTTAATTTCACTGTAGCCTCTTCTAGCCTAGTATTTCCCTTAGTAAAACTTACCCTTTTAAGATATGTCCTTAAAACATCATTGTGTCTGAGGAAAGCACAGGATAATGACCCAATATCAACAAGATTGGTTACAATAAGCCTCTGTTCAGATGATTAAGTGGGGAGAGAATTAACTCTTAGCTGGGTATAAATGTGCATTGCCTATTCCGACCATGTTTATGATAGACAAGGCCTTTACACATAAAGTAGGGGCTACATAAACACAGTGTTATAGTGACTATGTGTTTTACTCATATTACTTTTCCATATTGAGCTGGTGATTTCCTGGAACACTTTTTAATGTGCATATTAATTGCATTTCTAAAAGCCTTTTGCAGCTTTTAAAACACAATTTATTAGCAAATATAGTTCACAACCACAAACTCTTACTACTTTCCAACGGTGAATGCATCAATTCATCATTACTTGATACTTTTTCATCATACATTTCAAAAGTACATTTTCAATGTTTGGTTGGAAATACTTCAAGTTGGCACTGGAAACAAATTATTGAGCATGAATGTGATTTTCCTATTCTAAAATATAAATTTATACATGTAATGATGACCCATTTACACAGGTAAACTGGAGTTTTATGTAAGTGAGAAAGAAGAGATATCTATGTTATGATTTTTCCAGTGTTGAATAAGAATTTTATAACTAGGTATAAGCCTTTCAGTATTAAGTGATAATTATTTTTCCACTAAAGATAATATGTAGCTTGTGCATTCAGATGTTTTTGATCACTTAAAGCATACTGCCTTATTTTTAGCTTTTGCATTCTAAAGAGTTGAAATAGTTTTATGAACTCTTTCATTAATCTTCACAACATTCCCTTGAGCAATAATGGGAATCAGTCATTATTTTTGGGTAACATAAGTATAATGTAATATAGATTTATATTTATTAATATAAGTATTAATATGCTATGTGCAGAATACACACATGCTCTGAGTATGCTCAGTTCTTAACATTTTTACTTAGACACAGGTTAAGTAACAGAGCCAAGTAAATGAACATCTTTCAGGAAATCTTTACCACTGATATCTCATATGCATATGAAGGTCTAAAGACATTTAGTCTTGGCTGGGCACAGTGGCTCACGCCAGTAATCCCAGCACTTTGGGAAGCAGGCGAGTGGATCACTTGAGGTCAGGAGTTCAAGACCAGGCTGGCCAACCCATGGCAAAACCCTGTCTCTACTAAAAATATCAAAATTAGCCAGGTGTGGTGGCAGGTGTCTGTAATTCCAGCTCCTTGGGAGGCTGAGACATGAGAATTGCTTGAATCTGAAAGGCAAAGGTTGCAGCGAGCCAAGATTGTGCCATTGCACTCCAGAGTGGATGAAAGAGCAAGATTCTGTCTCAAAAAGAAAAAAAATAAAAGACATTTAGTCTTGATTACTTTCTTGATTACATTTGTATTAAACACATACAAAAAACAGTACTATATTTTTCCTATGCATATAATGCAAGGAAATAATCTGGAAGGATGTACATTTAACTAATAACAGCAAATACCTTTGGAAAAGTAGTACTTGCATTAGGATAGAGGTAGTGTAATATATGTATGTAATAGTTTTATCTATTACATATATAAACTCCTGACCTCAAGTGATCCTTCTGCCTCAGCATCTTGAGTGACTTGGGACTACAGCTGTGTGCTACCACACCCAGCTGTTTTTTTTTTACAAGAAGCTAAGTTATGTATTGTTTTAGTAATTAATTTTAAAAAATTTCTAGCCCACCCAGCATGAGGCAGGAGAATAGGGATTAGAGGCAGGGAACTTAAGGCTGATTCATGCTGACTTCCTAGAACGGAATCAAAAGAAAAACCCCAACTTTCCACACCCAAGTAACAAAAGTATCAGAGGCTACTTCCTTTGCAACACCCCTTGCCTTCTGTGTTGCAGATGAAAAATGGAAAATACCTCTGATTGGTACCCTCCTGCAACAAATCAGACGTTTGCATAGGGTATAACTTTGTAATTTCACTTCAGTCTCTGACTGGTTTCCTTGCACCAGAAAATTCTGTAACCAGTGCTCTTGAGCCACTTGCTGGAGCCTGCTCCCACTCTGTGGAGTGTACTTTCATTTCAATAAATCGGTGCTTCTGTTTTTGCTTTGTTTGCACATTTTGTCCAATTCTTTGTTTAAAACGCCAAGAATTTGGACATCTTCCACCAGTAATAAGTAGGCGGGCATAATGAAAATAATTTGTAAAATGAAAACGCTTAATGGGCTGTTCTTCCTTTTGCAAGATAGAATTGTAAACAGTATTTGTCATGCCCATCACCTGGGTCCCTATAATCCTATATTATCACTTGTGACCCTGGCCACCAGTACCTAGTTTTAGTTACCACAAAGGAATGGGTGTTATGGAAATTTGTACACGAGGCTCCCTTATACATATATGATGGCTGAGAAAGAATAGTAACATATGCGCACCTTAAAGCTATATTCGCAGTTCTATTATGAATAATCTGGGTTTAAGTAACAGTTACTTATTCAGTGCCTATTTGGTATCTAGGATCAGGGTAAACATTGGACGTATAAAGATGTATAAAAGTGTTCTTGTTTTTAGTGAAAGGTGGAAGGAGTGGGTTGACATAAACAAAAGAAGAAAATACAGTGAGAGGAAAGCTAATGGAGGTCTGGGCCAAGTGCTTGGGCAACACAGAGGATGCGGTAACTAGCAGTGCAGAGGATAAAGGTGAAGAAGAAATCAGGGCAGACTCATAGTGATAGTTAAGTTGATTCTTGAAGTAAGAGTAGGTGTGTGCTAGGCAACGAAGAAAATGAGCATAACCAGGCAAAAGAATTGTTAGACTCACTAATCAAAGATCACCGGAAGTACCTGTTGATTACTCAAAGCTGGATTTATTATGCATACTGAGCAAGGCAGAGCACGACTGTGGTGGTATCTCAAAAGGAAGGAGTTAGGAAAAGGAACTTGGGCAGGGACTGCAGTTAATCAAAAGGTGGTTTGAGGTGGCAGGTAGTAAACATGGTCTCCGCAGGGGTTGGTCAGTATATGTAAATGAAGTGGGCTGTTAGAAGAGTCAGTGGTCCTATCTGCACAAGATATGAGTCTGCAAAATTTCAGTTAAGTCAGTTTACCTGGGTTCTTACTTGGAAAATGTGATTCTGAAGGACATAGGGTTAATCTGAACTCAGATTGTGTGTGTGGCACATTATGGTTTGGTGCAGTTTACCTGTTTTGTGAGTCATGGTGCATTTTCCAAGTTGCATTTCTGGTTCATTTCTAGGATCCATTTGTGCACTAAATATAAGACCATGAGTAATATGTCACATGAAAATAATGACTCAGACTGGATGCCAGCCCGGGGCCAGGGCAGTGATCCATCGTAGGCAGTTTTTTGTTTCTCGTGGCCCAGCAGGTCCATGGGACTGTATGTGGCAGAAGGACCAATCATAGCTTCACTTGTATGTCAGGAGGGCAAGAACAAATCTGTGAGATTTCTAGTGTAAACAGGTTGTCAAAGCGAGGAAAGCCTAAGATGAGGATCTTGAGCTACAGTATGAAAGAACAAACAATAGTGATTTAAGCTGCACAAGTGGGATTCCTAGTGATGTGTTTGCCTATAATACCAGAGGTCAAGTAGACTGTCAGAAAATCACACCCCAGATAAGAACTACATAGTCTCTGAAGACCTTTCCAAATTCAAAACTTAATGAACCAAAAGGATGAAGGTAGAAAAGGGCAAGGTAAAACCAATGGACATAAGGTTAAGCAAATGGTCATAAAACACGTACAATTTCATCAAGTGCAACTTCCTATCCACTCATTGCAACATCCGCTCGACAGGGGTCATTTGTCTTCTGCATGGACAACTTTCAAAGTGGTTATACACTACTTTATAATGCGTCCATTTTGCATGTGTATATGTGCGAGGGGGTACAGTTTTAATCATTAACTGACTTAAAACTGGATTATCTTTAATTTCTGCTCATTAATTCCTCCTGGGGAACTATATGGCACATATCTTACCTTCCACACAATAGAGGCCTGCAAAGATTTCAAGAAAGTAACAAGTATTTTTATCTCCCCAATGTGATTCTTATTCCTGGCTAAAGGTTTATTTAAAAAACTTCTTGGCCAGGCATCAGTGGTGGCTCAATGCCTAAAATCCCAGCACTTTGGGAGGCCAAGATGGGAGGATTGCTTAAGGCCGGGAATTTGGGACCAGCTTGGTCAACATAATAAGACATTGACTCTACCAAAAAAAAAAATTCCACTTTTATTCTGATAATTTCTTGTCATGTACATATAGGAATAAATTATAAACATATATGTAAATCTTCACTTTTATAGTTTTAATACTGATAAATATTTTTAACAGTGAATAAACTTTTTAGTTTAGAATAATATTAGATGACATAAAAGGTACAAGAATATTACAGCGAGTTCTCACGCACCTCACATCTAATTTCCTCTATTTTTTTTTTTTTTTTTTGAGACAGAGTCTTGCTCCATCGCCCAGGCTGGAGTGCAATGGCGTGATGGCTTACTGCAACCTTTGCC